GGGGTACTGGTGGATGAAAAGCTGGACATGAGCCAGCAATGTGCGCTCGCAGCCCAGAAGGCCAATCGTACCCTGGGCTGCATCCAAAGAAGCGTGGCCAGCAGGTGGAGGGAGGTGATTCTGCCCCTCTGCTCTGCTCTGGTGAGACCCCACCTGGAGTCCTGCGTCCAGCTCTGGAGCCCTCAGCATAAGGCTGAGAGAGTTGGGGTTGTTGAGCCTAGAGAAGAGAAGGCTTCGGGGAGACCTTATTGCAGCCTATCAGTACTTAAAGGGGGCTTATAAAAAAGGTGAGGGCAAACCTTTTAGCAGGGCCTGTTGCGACAGGACAAGGGGGGATGGCTTTAAAGTAAAGGGGGGTAGATTTAGACTAGATATAAGGAAGGAATTTTTTATGCTGTGGGTGGTGAAACACTGGAATGGGTTGCCCAGAGAGGTGGTGGATGCCCCATCCCTGGCAACATTCAAGGTCAGGCTGGACGGGGCTCTGAGCAACGTGATCTAGTTGAAGATGTCCCTGCCCCTGGCAGGGGGGTTGGACTAGGTGACCTTTAAAGGTCCCTTCCAACCCAAACTATTCTATGAATCTATGATTCCTATCATAGTAGGCTCACCAGGCAGGTCAAACTTGCTGAGCCACTAACCTACCTAGGCAATTTTAATCTTCTACGTTGCTGTATATGATACATGTATATGATAAATGATAAATGTGATCATATTTATCCACAGAGAGCACACCTGCTGTGTTCCAGAACTTGCTGTGTATGGCAAGACAGACTTTCTTCCTTTGCTGTTAAATATATCAGCTTTTGTTTCCTTTCCATCTAGGATTTGCAATTTCAAGATCTTATTTTTTTAAAAAACAAAAGGTGAAATCTTTCTTATTTGTGATTTTAGCTTACGAGTTCTTTCTCACCTGATGTTGGGACATGACTGGATGGAGTCTGTTCAGAACATGACAGGTCACTGCCCCAATTCTGAAATGGCAAGTTACAAAATTGGGTCACCTTATCGTTAGAAGATAATATGGAATTCATATATGGTTTAATTGTATGGTGAAAGGCAAAACCAAGTTAAGACATAGATCCTAGGTTGGTGCCAATACAGCTCAACAGTCCTCTCCTCTTCTTTGTGGAATGCTGTTAATTAGTTTTGGTGACATTTTCTAGCCAAAACATAACATTTTTCCAAAGGCAAAACATTTCATCTAGAAATACTACTTATGACAAAGTTCCATCAGGATGATAATTTTTCCCCTCCTCTCCAGCCTGGAGATTTTGACCATGACCTAGAAGGTGGGGTCTTCAGGTTTGAAGTCCTGCTCTGTATCAAGAGACATCAGATGTAAAAACAAAAATCAACAATAAAATAATTTGCGAAGTTCTAATATTATATTAATGTATTATATTAATATTATTTCCCATGTACCTCGCTAGAAACCTTTTTTTTTTTCTTAGAAACTTTCAAAAAAGGCTAGCTTTCACTGAATATAAAATTTTAGAAGTTTTTGAAGCTTCAAAAGTTTCAGTAAAGAGAGGTGTCAGCCTCTAAATAATTAGACTACCATACATTTGTAGACAATATCATAGCTACTACGATTATTCCACCAGTTGAGGAAATTGAGTCAACCACACATCGCAGAACATCTTGGTTCACCAGCAGAAGCAGCTGGTGAATGTGCCACCCTCGCTCTTTGGTAGTGAGCAACAACATTAGCTGAGAAGGTAGCGAGGGAAAAATTGTAATTGTTGTAATGGGCAGTCCCTGTAAGAGTGAAGACATCTGCTTACGCTGATCTAAGAGCCGGCCCTGCTTGGAGCAGGATGTTGCACTAGGGATGTCCTGAGGTCCCTTCCAACCCAAATTATTCTACGATTGCACAATTCTACCATTCAGAGAAAAACTACATGGACCAGTGGTCTTCAGAAAACATGGTTAGTGCTAAAAAACATCAAGAAAAATTCATCTCTTGTAAAAAAATGGTGTAATAGGCTCTACTATCAGCCACCTAGTTAAAGGCTGTTTGCAGAGGCTAGAAAGGACAGCTGGGCTTATTTTCAGATCAGAGAGGAAACTGTTCCTTTACTCTCTCTACTGTTTCTTTCCTTTACCCTACCATTTCAAAAGCTATTGCTCTTGAGATTCAGTGGAAGTGCAAGAATTACCCATTAAAAGTATAACTCTAGCTCTACAGATAGAAATCCAATTTCAATATTGCAAACTATGGCTTGCTTAAACAATATCAGCTATTGCTTTTTGTAAACCCACAAGGCACACAGAGATTTTCATAATTTGACTAGGCATAAGAACCACCCCAGTATGCCAAACTAGCCCAGCCCATTTTGACTGCCATCTCCAGCCACACTTGTATCACTAAAACAGAGCATTCCTTGCAGGAAGTCTGCATGCTTGCAGCCATTTGTCAAGAGCAAGTTACTGCCCCATTTCTTCTACACCAAGTTTGTTTCTGCAGTTTGTTTAATCTACTTTGTAGTAGTTGTTCTGTCATGGTGGAAAGTGAATCCCTTTGAAAATGGATTCCCATCACCTCTTTTGTATTTGGCTGCATATCCAATACGTAAGGGTGACTGCCCTCTACAGGTTAAGCTTACTTGAGTGCATGGAAGTGCAGTGGCTCAAGAAGAGAATATGTAAACCTTCCTCAGATCATTTGGGGGCTCGGGGTTCTAAGTTATCTTCTCCCTATTGTGAGGAACTTGCTGTCTGAATTAATGATGCATCCTAGATGACTTACTGTTGAGCACAGTTTTGATACAATTGCACCAATTAATACAATTCATTTTGTTTGGCTTTTAGGAAAAGAAGAGTTTAACATTTGTTTACACAGGAAAAAATGCAATGCAAGATAGACTTCCCTTTCTGAAAACTGGTAATAGTTTATCTCATCTATAAATTCAGCATGATGTGTGAACAGTCACCAGATACAGCTTTGCATAGCTTGCCTAAAATGCAGCAAAAGATGCAACAATTACCTCTATTGGTTCATTAGTGGGCTCCACAGGTGGATATGTGTAGTTGCTATTCTTGTATGTTCCCAGGAATGGTTTGTCCTGGACGAAAAGAGGAATACAAAAGTAAGAGAAATTAGACAATAAACACATGGCACAGTCCATAGCAAGTGATATCAAGACATCATATCACCAAGGAAGTAATTGCCTAATCTGCAAAATGGGGATCTGGATTTTGAAACCTTACTTCTGAATTTTAAGGAAGGAGCAAGGTTTGTGTTTAGCACCTTATGGTAAAAATGACGTATGCCAGATCCTGATTGCAGCTTAACATTTTCCTCTCCTAACCTTCCACAAATTACTTAGACTTTATTAGATGGTTAGTCCTTTCAAAAGACACTGATGTAAAGTCTAGAGAAACCTGGGCAGATCTTGCTGTGTCAGCAGAGGGGAGATGAAAGATTGATTACTGAAAGGATCACTCTTCCCCCCAAGAGAGGCTGTATAAATTGCATGGTTATTTTTGTCTCTTACTAATGCAATGTGCATTCAGGAAGACATGCACATTGTACAGGCTAAAAAATTTCACTGGGATGCCCACTTATCTCAATTAAGAGCAATTCCAGTATCTGCATGAGGTCTTGCAAAGCACTAAAATCAGAAGGCGTATTTAATTGATTAGAAGACCCACTGTTCTTTTATTGGCAGGGTTTTATCCTACTTTAAGTTGCCTCAATACAAATCATTTTCCTTGGCTTTTGGGCCCTTACAATCTGGCACACCTGTTATTTTCACGGACATGACTACCTGAAGTAGGATTTTAAAAATGTAGTGAGAAACTGTGGGAACAATAAATGGAATTTGTGGGTGTCAGAATCTGAAATAATTTACTACTCCCTTCAGTAACACAGAAGGTGAAATCCCCTGGAAACAGTCTATTTATTCCTTTGTAGCACTGTTTCATAATCTTTACCTCAGAGCTTTCTGAGCAGGGAAAGCTACTGGCACTTCTATCAATGACTTTTTCAAAGCACTGTGGGCTTACTATTTCTGAAAATAATAGCCACATATTCTTTGCAAGGGATATAAAACTTTTCTATGCCTTCTTCTGAAAAGCAACATCTTTGAACAGGAGTGGACGAAGGGAAAGAAGCGTAAAATACACATTATTTGGCACTGAAGAAGTTGCTATGTTAATTTAAGCTGCCTGGAAAGAACACTGGGTAAAATGAAGTAGGATCAATTTAAGTGAATCTGAGGACTTTTGAAACATGCTGATCAATAACTCGGCAGATCTTCCTTTTCTGACAGGATGGACACAGTATGGACAAAATCCTCCCGTATGACTTGAATGACTGTCTCCAGACCCGAGAGAACAACTCAGTTCCCTGATCTGTTCAGTTCTTGGCCTCCTTGTTGAAACTGCTGAAGAAAGTGAGGCAATTATTGCTGACTGCAGTGGTCATTTCCACATGCTGATACCTAGCAACTGTACTGCAAGTTCAGCAGCTAGTTTTATAACTGTAGAAGCAGTTTCCAAAGAGTCTGAAGTATGCCTGTTATGGATCAGACCAGGAAAACTAACCTGCCACTAACTCGAGAGATAAGAGATACTGGGGTTTTCAGAGCTGCTGCGGTGCCCAAACCCCATTGATTCTGATGGGAAAGTTAATGCAGCATATTCCGTTGTTTGCTGCTTGAGCTGCCTCTGTACTTCACAAACATAACAAAACACAACCTCTGCTACAACTGAAAACACACAAATCAGCATGTTGTCAATCAGTACCCACGGCACAGTAAAAGGCCAAGGGATACCAGAGCAGGTACATGAGAGCACTTGCTCACTCAGAGGTAAGCACAGAACAAAAGTTTTCAGTAAACTTGTTCCAGACATACCGAACCCCTGCTCTCTGCAGCAAGCACAAGCACATACAGCCTCCTGATACTCAGCTTCCACAACATGGGTATATTTACCTGAGTCGGACAGTCGAGGACTATGTCAGCCGTGAAATCAAATGAGTCAGCTTTCTGGCCTACAGGCTGTAACTAGAAAGGAAGACCAAAAAACCCCTATTTTGTAACCATGTCAGCTCATCTTACATTTGTATAACAATTCTAATCCAAAAGAATCTACACCTTTCAAATTTATATAAAGCTGCCCGTATTTACAGACCTTGATTTACCCAAGGCTGAAATGCATCTACTTCTCAGAAAGAACATGGCAACTGCGTAACAAAACAGCAACTCTAGAAAGAAGCTTAAAATGGGTAGTGGAAAGCTCCACTGGATCAGTGTAAACTCCTGGAGGATTTTGGCAGGCACATGAAGTACCTTGGAATTTTGCCAGAAGGCAAGGTCGTAAACTCTCTTCTTGTGCATAAAAGACAAGACATTAAGAGTCCCTCAATTTTTATAGCTAAGCTGCATGATGGCATCTCCAACAAAAGGCTGTTTATGCGTAGAAGATTAAACCAAATTTAATTAGAGGTACTGCTTGGTGATTGCAAGCAATCATGTCAGCTGTTAAGACATTACCCTGAAGTATATAGAAGTTTACATCCAGGATCTGAGATACCGCCTCTGACTGCATGCGTACTCCTACTGCACTGCAATGCTAAGTAAAATAAGTTTGCTTAAGCAATCTTTGACAACACATTTTTATTGAGCTTTACTCATTTCCAAAGGTAGTAAAACTAAAAACTGAATTAAAACCACTTTGATTCCTAATGAGACATTCACAACACATGGATTTGAAACAAACTTCTAAGTAATCCATTTTAAATTGACATATGCAGTTACAATTGTTTATTTGGTGGTTTCCCACATCAGCTCATAGAAACAACATCCTTATTGAATACTGTCCTGCCTTTCATGACAATGGGTGAAGTAGACTTGAAGTTGCTCAGCTGAAATCATGAATGACTCTGATCATGCACTTACAGCACCCCTCTCCTCCCCCCACACCTTAAGAAGCAAGAGATTCTAGGCTGAGAGCAGTGCCAGAAATTTGAGGGTATCAGACTAGTAAAGAAGAAACAAACACAAGGTCCAGCGTTATCCAGGCCTTCACTGCAATGTTTATTACAGAGATTATTTTAATGGTAGTCAGGCCTAGGTAAAGACCACATTACACGCAGAGCCTGTCACCTTACCACAGCATTCCAGAGAGCCTTGGCAAGCTGAGAATGGCCTTTCTGGCTTGGATGGAAGCAGTCAGGTGAAAAGTAGGAGACGTCTGGATGCCCATCCTACAAATGAAAGCATAAAGGACATCTGAGTGCAGAAGAATCCACACAGCTCCAACCTGGGGTTGCTGAGGCCAAACCAGAGCCAGTAATGGAGGTTCATGCTACTTGTTCTTGCTGCTCCAATGTGGAAAGTCTCATGATTACCTGGTGATACAAAGTGTACTTCAGCAGGTCCATGAGCTACCAGAAATGTGTAACTACAGATGCTTATGTGCATCCAAGGGCAGATCCACCCAGAAGTAGCAAACCCACCATTTTCAATTACGTGTCTAGTCTCTTTCTGGGTTCTGCAATAAAGATGGGTTCCTCTCCTCAGCACATCATCTGAACTGGCACCACAGGCACCACTATACTCTGCAGTACCTTTACATGGTAACAAGCATGTTACGGATGCTTTACCAGAGGGAAGAGAGCCCATCTGCTTTTTCACAGCTGTGTCAGTTCTGCAAGTTTGAAAGGAGCAAGAAGCAAGTAAGTGTTTGTGTGAAGGCAGCCAGGCTAACCGAGTATCCAGTACAGTCTCCTTTCTGAGCAAAGATGTACTTTAATACAGACACTGGAGTATCTGAAGGAATGGAGTTTGGAAATGTAAATATCTTGGCTTTCATGTGAGTATTGAGATGAGAAAGGGTTTAGGTCACAGATGACTGAAACAACAACATTTTTTTTGGTCAGACCAGTCCTTCCTCAAAACTTGAGCAGGTTTTGATTCAGTGTGTTTGGGCTAGCTTATTAGAGGACTACTACCAAAATTTGCATCTATATCTGATCTTTTTCAAAGTTTAGAGGCAGACTTTTCAGTTCAGGAACATCTGAATGTTGTGTGAGATAAGAAGAAAAAACAGCATCCTGAGCTTTCTTACAATCTGAACTAATGCTTGTGAGACTATAAAAAGAAAGTTCAGAAATATTTTACTGCTTCTGTTTTTATTTCTGTGTTCCCTACCTCAGTACCAAAACCCCTAGCGATACTTTTCACAGGAACCAGCTTCACAAACAAACAAACCAAACCAAAACAAACCCAAAAATCAAAGCCTGTTTTTCCTGGGAAGCTTTCAGTCAGTTTTCCAAATTCGTCTGTAGCAAAGTTTGAACTTTTCAAACTTATCACTAGCTATTTGCCAGCATTTTCACGATCACTCCAGTTCAATTATACCAGCGCAATCCCTGCTCAATATTTTGCCCCATCTGCTCTTAGTTCCAGGTGAGTTGAGGAAGTGCAGATGCGTGTGAAAATTAGCAAATGGAGTTTCAGTTTCAGAGAAGGTTTGGGTCATTTCCTAGATTTATAGTTTACTGAGACTTACCATTCAAGGTACGGAAATATAATTGCCAATAACAGGAAAAAGGGCTCGCTACATAAAACTACTACTTCCACCAGATCATACGTAAACTTCTCTGTCAGACACAGAAGAATGAGTTATGGGACATGAAGAGGAGGTGATGCTGTAGTCTCCAGTGAGCAATGCAGCTATGTTGCTTTAAGAACTGTAACTTAATATCTCTGTCTTTTATTAATCATGCTATATTTTCAGAAAAAAAAATATTTATGTACACAAACAAACCTCTTAATTTAGGTTTTGATTCATTTTCCAAAACAGTAATTCATATTGACAGCACAATATGTAAAACAAAGAACTGCTAAGTATATGAAGAAATCTGATGTACTATACTAAAAAGCAACAATTTCTAATAAGAAAAGCACGGAACAAACTGAAACTATTTTGCATATAGTCTTTAAAGGTTAGATACCCACACTTAGTCCTTTGCATGCAGAAGTCTCTTTAGACCATACCTGACCAAGAGGAATCTTGGGATTTTGGAGGAAAGGCTGGATGGTCACTGTGAAATTTTCATGAGTATCATATCTGCCAGACTCCACTAGTCTCCGAATGCCAAGCTACAAGAAACAAAAAACCGACCACCAATAATGCATCAACATCTCTGCATCATAACCATTTTTTATTTTCTTTTGAGAGCCCAAGAATCAGAAGGAAGCTTTTACTTCTTAACTGAAATAGCCACAGATGTTAGCAAAAGGTGAGTCTTGAAACGTGGCTGAGAAGGCTGGAACACAATACTACAACTGTCTGTGGGGGACAGGATTTTGGTGACTAAACACCCACCTATCCATCTGTACTAGAAACAAAATTTTTCTGAAGAGCTTTGCTGCTGGTTTTGGTCATACGGTGTTTTGGATAGCATCAAATTACCTCCTGCTTAGCTCATAGGGCCCATTTGGGTAAAATATTGCTATGATATGTTGCTTGATAATCAAGAGCTCACCTCAACTGAAAATAAAGCAACTGCATCACTCTTCATAAACATACCTGGTAAGCTCTGGTGGCTTCTCTCACCATTGTTAGATTTGGTGAGTTTTCTTCTCCTGTGAGAACACAACTACACAGATAACTGTGGGAGAGGTTAGAGGAGAAAACAGGAATAGAGAAAGTTAGAGATCTGAGAATGCAGAAGTCACCTTTTGCCACCCAACGCCCCCATGACATGGGAGGAACAAGGAAACCTCTACAGTCATGTTTCTGTGAAAATGTCTTACTGTCTTTGCCATTGTTCATCATTTCAACCCTTATTCTTATTTTCTGCCTCTCTAAATCAGTTTGGTTTCACCCCCAGGTATATCAAAGTGATGTATGCTGTACTATGATGTTTTGTCCCATTCATTACACCCGGGCATCCAAAGGCCCTGCAGCCTGACAGAGGTACATGCCAGTCCTTCTGGAACTAGAAAACAGATCTTTGAAATGTACTGGCTGCATTACCTCTGAGCTGATACCTTTCCAAACAACAATTCTCCGTTCCCAAGACAGAATTTGTCCCTGCCTGGAGGGTCAGCAAAGAATGCAAATTACTCATTGCAATAAAGCCTCTGAAAAAGGAGAAACCTGTCTACTCTGCAAATACTTCACATTCCCTCAAAAGGCCTGAAAATCCAAATGCTTGTGGACTTCAACCCCACCTTGAGGAACTGTGTATCAATAACTTTAATATACACCTCAATGAGCTTGGGTTATGTATCACAGGAAACCTTACAGTTCTAGTCATGGACAAAACACAGGTCCTCTGACAACACTTAGGTCAAAGCCAAGAGAAGGCAACGCCATCAGGCAGGGTGATGTCAGCACTGCATGGGATGTCCGTAGGACTGTAGTGCTACCTTTGAACATCAGTTCAAATAACAAGAGAAGCATGGAATAAGAACATGCTTTATCATCATGGACAGCAAGCTCAGGTACAAAAGGAAGGCAGACAAGCCTTACTCTGCCATGTAAGTGGGGCACCGAACTTGAGTATCCACAAACAACTGTCTCAGAGGGAGGAGGTCCATCACTTCAACCAGACTCACTAGAGCTTTTGGAACCTGAAAGGTAAGTCAGACTTTAGCTTGGAAGGAACCAGTTATGCAGCCCACAGTGCATTTATTTTACCCCAAAGTCCAGCCATTTGACACCTCTTCTCTTTCTCCATTGT